ATGTTGGATCAAAGAGCCAAATGACGGCGGGATCCAGATACGCAACCAAAAAGAAGAATGCCTTTGGCAGAGAATAGCAGCGATACAGTCCAGAGGCCCTGAGATGCTGATACACTTGGCATGTTCAAGAACAGAAGGGAAGAACCTTGGGTGAAGGTGGAAGAGATGATGGTAGCTGGAGTCCAAGTAATGCAGACCTTGTAGACCACAGCAAAGGATTTAGATCTTATTCTTGAGTGTGTTAAGAAGAGTGATGTTTTTCTTATCTTACCCGTGGATCAGAGACAGAGGTGGATGAGCAATGCTGCAAACTTTGGTTGGGACATTGCTTACCAGGTGAAATTCATCACCTGAGACCCGAGATTCACACCAAATAACCATGAGCATTGGGAACCCTTCCTTAAGGAAACATTAGGCCAAGGAAAGAAGGTCGTGGGAGACCACCTGCCGAGACCCTCAGATGTGCAGCCCGTGGTGAAAACTGATTATTATCTTGACTCACTCCATTTCCAGGGAAGCGATGCTCCATCCTGCACCTGTACAAGTGTCTGCTGCTAATTAAGAGAGAGACAGATGGAGGAAGGTACAGTTTAATTTTACAGCCCCGGTTCCTTCAAGGCAATTAGGCTCATTGGAAAGAACACGCCTTTTTCTTTCATTCTTCCTCTTTTTAAATGAGAGAGAAAGGGGGAAAAAAACAAATCAAACCAAGAGGACCAGTATTGTTGAAAGACTTACACATCTGTTTCCTGGTCGGCCTGTCAGCCATCTGCCCACGAGATACCAGGGCTGATTAGGTTAATGCGTTTATTAATGGGGCTTACAAGGCTGTTCAGTGAATCCATTATTTCTTTCACAAGGAGCTTTTTAATATATTAAGACAGGGACCACACTGCATACAGCCGAGAGGGGTCAGGTAAGTGTTTCCTCCTCCTCCTCCTCCTCCACCGGATTCAAGTCAGAGGGAACCAGAACTACCATGGGAAGGGACCGTCATCACAATTGCATTTCCTAGTACACGGACAGCTCCCATGTGGTTGCAATTATCTTGACAATATCTCTTGGAGGATCATTTCATGCCCCAGGCACCAAATCTGAGTCTGCCCAGCACATCCCTAAAACACCTGAGTCTAGTGGAGGGAGGGAGGGTGGTCAGACATATTGTAACTCTGGTTGAGCCAGTCTGGTTGACAGGACAGTAGGTGATGTGTCCCCTTGCTTTCTTCCCTCCGCCATACACAGACACCCTTCAGTTTCTTGTCGCTCCCATGCTCTTCTTGCTCAAAGCATTTGTCAGTGCTGTTCTGTGTCACTTACCTATTGTTGCATAACCAGTTGCTCCAGACTTCATGGCTTAACATCAAAACAAAACCAAAAACAGTTGACATTGTGTTGACTCACACTCATGCTGAGCCCATGTGTGTCAGTGTGCTTGGCAGGGTTTTCCAGTGGCTGATTTTTCAGACGCAGATCACCAGGCCTTTCTTACTGAGGCACCTCTGGGTGAACTGGGACTTCCAACCTTTCAGTTAGCAACTGAGTGCGTTAACTGTTCTCACCATCCAGAGGCTCTGAGGGGTTTGACATCACAACCGTTTATTAGACTCCTATTCAGTGTCAGCTGGCCAGTATTTCTGGTTTGGGCTACATTGGGCGCTCTCTGGTGGGCTTCCTCAGTACCTGTGGTCAGCAGGCTTGGTGATGAATGTATGACCTTGGGTGGCCTTTTGTTTATCTGAGAGTTAGAGGGCTGTTGGCTATGTTGGACATGGGCAACCAGGCTACAGATTTCTCAACCTCCAGGAGGCTATCCTGGGCTTCCTTCTTCACATGGATGAAGGGTTTGAAGAGCCCCTAAAAGCCCAGGCTGAGGACTTCTGCCATATTCTGCTGCTCAAAGCCAGCCACAAGGCCATCCCAGATTCACGGGGTAGGGAAATAGACTCCACCTTTTGATGGAAGGAACTGCAGAGTACTGTCACCAGTCTTGCAATATACAACATGCTTTCTTGCCATAAATGCTACACTTCACATTCAGATCTCAGCTAAAGTGCACTTCCTCCAGGAAGCCTTCCCTGAGCAATTCCCACATTATAGATCAAGTCCTCTTTGCATGCCCAGTCACAGGGCAAATGAGGCACTCGGCAAACATGGTAGATGAAAGGAAGAAAAGGGTGCTTGGTTTGATGCATATCTTCCTTGTGCCTAGTAGGTAACCTGTCACAGACTGAGTCTGTTGAATCTCAGCCAGTGCCTCTTTCATAAGGCAGGTGACAGATAAAATACATGTATCGAATAGTTGTTCCTACTGTGCTATATAGTGTGTATATCTTGTAAAATTTCTTCCCTGTGGTAATTCTAGGGGTGGTTACTATTACCTCCATTTTACACGTAAGGAAATAGAAGCATAAGAGGTTAAGTGGTATTACTGAGGTGACATAAATTCAGGTCTGCCTGACTCCAGAGCCCATGCTGTTGTTGTTGTTGCCCTCGAGTCAGACCCGACTCATAGCGACCCCTCCTTGGGTTTCCGTGGCATATCACTATGGAAGTAGCTGGCCCCATCTTCCTTCCGAGGAGTTGCTGGTGGGTTTGAACCGCCAACCCTCTGGTTAGCAGTCCAGTGCCTTAGGCACTACGCTACCAGAGCTCCCAGCTTTCTCATTGCTTCATGTCTTGCTCCAGATACTAAGCACTTTTCAATGCCCAGAGGGTACCCAATGCCAGGTTCACCAAATGACCAACTCAGTGGAGCTGAGAATGGTTGGGTATGGAAGGTTTTACACACGGGACCCAATGGTCACTCCTTCTGGAGGCTTCTCTGTGCATTTGTGCTGAGAGGGCAAGAGTTGAATGCCTCTGAGTCTGTTTTGCTTTAAAACTTTCTGAAAAGAAGTCCTTCATGTCGCTGAGCTAAATTTTTCTCTCATCTGCCATGCAGGGGTAATAAGCCCCACCTTTCTATCTCTAGGAGCTCTGGTGGCATAGTGCCTAAGGCATTTGACTGCCAGCCAAAAGGCTGGCAGTTCAAACTCACCAGCCACTCCTCAGAAGGAAGATTGGACAATCTATTTCCACAGTGATACTGCCTCAGAAACCCAAGGAGGGGTCGCTATGAGTCGGATCCGACTTGACGGCAGTGAGTTTGGTTTTGGTTTTCTATCTCTGGGGGTTGTTTAAAGGGTCAAAAGAGAAAAGAAGCATGGGACTGTGATGGTCTCTGTGAATTTACATAAACCCTTAGGTGCAATATCTTGGAATGTTAGAAATGTGGATGAAAGAGCAGTGAATATTTACAATCTGAGTGATACAGATTGAACAGGTTTATGTTAAGAAATTAAAAGTAGAGAGACTCTTACAATGAAAGAATAGTAGGTTAAATATGAGAAAGTAAAAGGAGGTCTCATGGAATTAGCAAATCAGCCAATCAGTGCTGGAAACAGTGTGGTGGAAGGCAGTGGCAATTGATATACTCCTTTGGAGAGTAGTTGGCAGATGTATCAACAGCCTTAACAATGTCTATATCCTTTGGCCAAGTAATTCCACTTCATGTAATCTAGACCAGGGGTCAGCAAGCTTATTTAGCAAAGAACTGATGGTAAGTATGTCAGGCTTTCTGGAGCATACAATCTTTGTCACAAATACTCAGCTTTCTCATATCGGAGTAAAAACAGCCATAGACAGTATGTAAAGGAATGGGTATTGGTGTATTCCCATGAATGTTTCTTTCGAAATACACAGCGGACCAGATTTGGCCCGTGGCCATAGTTTGCTATCCCCTGATGTAGGATTGAGAAAATATTTTTTTAAATTATTATATATTTAAAATTCTAAATACAAAGAGAGCATTGGGTCAGAAGATTCTCTTGTTAGCTTTATTTATAATAGCAGAATTCCAGCACAACTTGAATATTTATCAATAGGGAGATTGATTAATTTCAGTGGTTACACTCAGTGAAATATTATGTGGGTGTCAAAATGCTGTTTATTAATGATTTATAGCAACATGGGAACATATCTGGTGGAATGTTACGTGAGAAGTTGAAGCAAAGTTACAATAATGATGATGATGGGGGTGGTGGCTGATAGCTAACACATTACATACATCACACTTTTAACCCTTCAGTCAACCCTATCAGATAGACTTCTTTATTGTAATTGCCTTCCATATACAGGAGCCAGTGGTAACAGAAATTAAATCATTTAGTCAAAGTTACACAGCTAGTAGGTGACAAACTAGGGATTTGAACATAGATCTGCATAATGGTTCAAAGCAAATACAGAAGCACTCAGTCTAACAAATGAAAATTCCAAATTCAACTGTTTCCTGGTAAGATCCAAAGAAAACAAACCCAAATGTTGATATTGGCTGTCTCGGGTGGTGGAGTATAGATAAGAATATTTCTCAACAAATTCTGTATTTTCTCTAAGGGAGATCCATCCTTTTGATAACAAAGAAACAACACTTCAGTTACTTAAGAAAGCCAAGGATGTAAGGAAGCAGATGTGTGACTGCGTCGGGCAGAGTGTTTATTTTAGAGGATATAGAGATTCCCTCAGTAACATCAACGGTTTGTGCCCAACTACTAATCAAAAGGTTGGTGGTTCAAACCCACCCAGCACTGCCATGAAAGATAGGCCTGGTGATCCGTTTCCATAAAGATTACAGCCAAGAGAATCCTATGGAGCCCAGTTTTACTCTGTACCACATGGGGATGCCTTGAGTTGGAATCGACTCCATGGTGACAGGTGGAAGTTCTTTGGGAATGCCGTTCCACTCTTGGTCTTGCTCTTCTTTGCAGAAAGACATGGCCCTGCCCTTTCATCTGTCTTTGCTCTAGCTGCAATTTCTGGTGTATGTCTTGTCTGGACTGTTGGCCCACGTTTATGCTATTCTTTGGTTTACCTGTCAATTCTTAACACACTCTCTCTCTCTCTCTCTCTCTCCTCCTCCTCCTCCTCTCTCCTCCCCTTCTTTATCCATCTGCCCCTCTGTACAGCTGACAAGGTCAACGACGACTTCTACTCCAAGCGACGGCACCTGGCCGAGCTGGCTGCCAAGGGGAACCTACCTCTGCACCCTGTGAGAGTGGAGGATGAGCCACGGGCCTTCAGCCCTGAGCATGGTCCCACCAAACAGAACGGACAGAAGTCCCGCGCCAATAAGATGCCCCCACACCCCCTGGCCTACAACTCCACCCCCAGCAACTTTAAGGGCTGGGACCCCAACGAGCAGTCCCTTCGGCGGCAGGCTTATGGCAACAAGGGCAAGCTGGGCACGGCTGAGTCAGGCTCCAGTGATCCCTTGGGAACACGTACCCAACACTACCCACCCCCACAGCCATACTTCATCACCAACAGCAAAACAGAAGTGACTGTCTGAGCTGTCTCTGCAGGGAGCGTCCTGGAGACCACACTCAACTGAGAGAGGCAAAAAATATACCGCCCACGCCCTCCCTGTCCTCCCCACACACGCACCCACACACACTCACTCTCCACACGAACCGATGACAGACCTGCTGGTGACACGGAATCACGCTTTTCCTGCGTCATGCCTAACGTGTCGGTGGGCATCCGAGGAACACCGGAGCATGGACATTCAGCAGTACAGCAAAGGGGAGACTGAGGCACACTCTTTCGACGCCAGGCCCAAGATGGCCAGCTCACATGCCCAAACTCTGGGGCTAAGTTTTCTTTTCTTCTACCTTGAAACTGAAATCCATGATAAACAAACAAAAGTAGCACAATTTAGAGAAATTGACCATTTGAGCACATACACCATTTGCCACATGCTGTCTATTTCTGGGTGAAAGAGACAAGATGAAGGTGGGTAGAGAATGGGGGTGGATGCAGGAGAATAGTGCACTCCAGAAGAGGAGATCTTTTGGGAGGAAGGTGTGCACGTAATAAGCATGTTCCAATCCCAAGAAGTGGACACACATTTTAGACAAGCATGAGACAGCCATTGGACCCCAACCATTCTAGTTATAGACCTTTCCATATCATCAATGTTGGAAGCAAAAAACAATACACACATGAACTCACAAAAATAACTAGACCCTGAACCCACTGACAGATGGGAAGGAACGAAGATCTTAGAGAACTTCCATAAAGACCACAATCCCTGAAATGAGAGGGTCGGGCTTCTCTGGCAGGGAGAGGGTCCGGAAAGCATTAACGGAAAAAAAAAAAAAAAAAGTGTTTGTAAAGGAAAACAAATTATAAGCCCACTATAAAATGAGAACAGCCAAGGATGTCCAAAATCTTGAAGACTTCCAAAATCAGCAATGACATCGACGACAAAAAATCCCCAATTGGAAAAGCCTAAAGGAGGTGGGAAGAGGACCCAGATGGAAGTCTTAATTTCTAGTGTTTCTCCCTGGCCTCCGAGACAGGAAAAAGACACAGAAACAAGTCCTCTCTGAACTGTCTGTCCCTGACTTTCCTTCCCCTTCAGAGCATTGCTGCCGCCGCTGCCAAACTTCAACTGCTTTGGACTGAAGATGACTTAAGCGTGGGTGGTGCCTTCAATGTGTTACTGTTGTTTAATGACAGTCTTGTTTCCCAAGTGCAACCTGTGTTCTTTTAGCCTCCCTCCCTCCTGTTATTCTGCAGTAGCAGGTATGTCCATCCATCCTCTCCTTGGTGAGCCCACCCATTAACACTTTCTGAGGGGGCTTCTGCAAAGGCAGGGGTCCCTAAGGATGAAGACCTTCTCCCAAATCCCCATGCAACATCGTGTGAGACCTTACCATTTGCTAGTCCCCAAACCTGTCATACGTTTCTGGGTCCTGTAATATCTGTGGTCCCTCCAAGCCACCTCCCCAGATACATCACCGCATTTGTCCCTCATCGAGAATTTCCTGAGGTGGTAGTTCAGATTGCTTTCTATAGCCAATAGCTTTTGGTTGCCCTAAAAAAGGCAATTTTCCTACTAGTTCTGTTTTTGAATGGAAGCCCAAAGAGGGGAGTTGAGGGAGAAGAGATTTTCATTTCATGTGAGCAGCTCTCAACCAATCTCTAAGGGTCTTAGCTACAGAGCCCCGGTGGCTCAACAGTTAAATACTCAGCTGCTAATAGAAAGGTTGATGGTGTGAGCCCAGTCAGCAACTCTGCGATAGAAAGACCTGGCAGTCTGCTCCTATAGAGATGACAACCTAGAAAACCCTATGGGCAGTTCTACTCTGTCACGTGGGATCTCTGTGTATTATAATCCACTCGGCAGCACCTAAGAACAAGAGGCTTAGCTAATGAAGAAAATCTGCCAAAACACCCCTCACTTTCCTGGGGCCAGAAGCTGGAAACAAACACACTGGTTGAACAAGACTCTGTGTATTCCCCAGTCTCAAACCCCACCTTTCTGCTGCCCCCCAGTCTCCCATCTCCATTCTCTGGTGTCATGGTTTCAGGGAACACAAACGTTTGTTCTCCTTCTTATTCCCAGCTGGTCCAGGGACACTTGAAAGCCTTTTCTCTCTCTGAGCCTTAGTCTCTATCTAAAACATTTGTTTTAAAGATTTAGGGCAGGATCAAGCTTTTGAAGCTCTGCCCATTTTAAAAAAATGAAATCTTAGAGCCCACTCTATCCAATCCCCATGTAGGAAGATGCACTGTGCTTCACAAAGCAGGGGTGAGGGGTTGAAAGCCCAGCACCCTCAGAGAGAAATGAACACCCGTGGGCCTGGTCAGCGTCTGCTTGACATGAACCATCCATACACCTGCAACACACTTAGGGTGTATTTGTGTTACCGCCTTCATGATACTTGTATCTAAATAGATTCCTTTTTCATAAATTCGATTCTTAAGGAGAAACTTCATGCCATCATCACAAATAGAAAGCCAATATTCATTGCCATGAATAGATGCTAAGCATAAGAATACTTAGCATTATTCAGTTCTAGCTAGATACTGATGGGTGTGGAAAGGTCTGACCCTGAAGCCTGGTTCTCTTTCTTTCTTTATTTAAAAGAGATTAGCAGGTATAATGGAAGCCTGGTGGCAATGGTTAAGCACTCGGCTGCTAACCAAAAGGTTGGTGGTTCAAACACACCCAGCAGCTCTGTAGGAGAAAGACCTAAAAGTTACAGCCTAGAAAACGTTATGGGGCACACGACTAGTCAGAATCCATTCGATGGCACCTTACAACAGCAACAATTGTTAAGGAAGCATTGAAGACTAGCACCCATTGGAGACTTTTCCTTGAAGGGATCAGATAGACTGAAACATAAAAGGGAGTCATCGCCTATGGGACTCAGTGTTGATTAGGGCTAGAGTCACGTCTTATGACCTTCTGCATACACTAGCGGTTCACAGCCTCCACTTCAGGAAATACTGGGTTGGCTTATCTGTAAGTTTCCCTCCAGCTCAAAATTCTGAAACTCCAGTATCCCTTTTAGCTTAGCTTTGCCCCTTGCCTTCAACCCACTTCACCTCCTCCTTACCTCAACCCTGATTAAGTCTTTCTTGGTTTCTGAATCTACGGTGTTTTATGTCTTCTCCATGTTCCTCTTCTTCTGAGTGAACTTCATCTATTGAACTTCGCTCCTTTGGGTCTGCATTTACACTTTTGGCAGCAAGAGGACAGCCTGATCTGCCGGGTATAGCAGTGAACATTACCCAAGATGGGTAGTCTTCCTCAACCTCGATATCTCCCAGTGGATTTGGGAGTTGAAATAAGAGGGTGAGGGTTGGGCAAGAGAAGGTTTGTTTATTCTTAGGCATCTAGGGAAGGTGGGAAGACCTTATAGTACTGAAAGAGGGAATGACCTGTGGAACTGTCTATGCCATGGACCAAGAAAACCTTCCTATAGCTGGAGTGGGGAGACCACAAAAGAAACCAGAGCAATGCAGAGAGATGCTCCCTCCCCATCCCATGCCCTGGCACTAGCCTCTATACCTTGCCTTTCGCTGTCTCCCAACTTTCAGCCCAAAGGAACCACTGTCTGACTCCTCCTTGCCCTCCCCGAGTGTCTCAGCCTCCATCCGCCTTGGGCTCCGCCTGGCATCCCCACCGAACTCCCCCCAGTTTTTTTGTGTAAATGGAGCATATTTTATGTGCGAATATTTTAGTAACCGTATGTTCTGCAAGTAAACCTGTGTTAATACTCGTCAACAACTGCAGAGTTTATGATACCAATAATACTTCCTACAATGAAAAAAAAATTTGTTTGTTTTCTAAGAATGTTTATTTGTAAACATATGTATTCACTATATTAATATGAATTTCTTACCTGGCAATAAAACTGATTATATGTGATGTGTTGGGGTTGGCATGTATCTTTCCCTACATCCTAATTTGTCTGGGATTTCACTGGGAAGCACCAGTAATTAGCACAGAGAGCTGAACCTTCAGTGTTCAGAATGCCTGGGAAAGGAAATTTCTAGAAAACAAAAATTAAGACAAATTTTCCAGGAGAATTGTTGTGTTACAAGCGTTTTTGATAAGACTATGTCTCATATTCTTTTAGTTCATTCTCTTTCCTTAAAACTCAGACCATTGCTGGGCCTCATAATCGTAACAAAATTTATTCTTAATAGTCAAGAATTTTGCTAAGCTTTGCCTTTTTGTTTTGACCACTGACCAAAGCTGTAGAAGACACAAATATTGAAACCATGGGAAATTGGACTCTGCCCCTACTTATTACATTTTATTTCCTCCCTGGCCTCTATTAGCACTGAGTTTGAAACTTGCAAGTAGAAACCTATCTTAATATGGTTCCCCCAAGAAAGAGGGCCGGGGACAAGGATTTGCTTGTATTTAAGAAGTGCAGGGAATACAGGTAGGGTCTGGGGAGGTAACATGGTGAAGAGGAAGCAGCCAATAAAGGGAACTGCCACCATAGGTGACGAGCTCATATCAGTGGGGGAGCTTGGGGAGACTGTGTAGAGCACACCCCCCAGGATTATCCCACCCAAGGGGTGAGGGGGCTGGGGTATTTACACACCAACTCTCATCAGACTTCAACTGAGCATTACTTTCAGGGAATATCAATATCCAGACACTTCAGGCTGTCATGCATGAGGGAGGAATGGAATTCCATGGGTTGGGAGAAAACCCCAGACATAGTGATGCGCCCACTGGCCCTTGGAAGTCAGCCACGGTACACTGGAGTCCTAAAGGGACAAAGGGTGAGGACACGGACTCAAGGTGGCTGCTGAAATCCAGAGGCCTGAGTTCTTGTGAAAATGAAGCACCCGTTCACTGAGATCCTTACGGTACTATCAACATCAACAAAGGGGGTTGTGGACCACTGTCTGCAGTGAAACTCGGGGGCCTTTCTCTGGGATGTGGAGACCACAGCTCCACATGGTCCTTTCAAGAGAGATCTCCAGGCCTCCCTCTTGTGCATGGTGCTGGTGCTCAGAGGAGTCTGGAGGGCAGGAGACGCTCCTTCAATATTCAAGAACTGCTTGGGGCTGGAGCTGCTGGCCAGCACATATCACAGCACCACAGAAGCAGTGGAAGGGCAGAGAATCACGGCTCTGGGACAGATGGGGGGACCGATAGATAGTTCCTCTAGTGAAACCACCTCACTGGTTACAACTCATAAGCCGCAACAACAATCGTATAAAGTGTATTTGTAGAACACTCATGATGTGCCAAATGCTGTTAAAGACATTATGTGCATTGCCACATTTGATCCTCAGTTGCATAAGGTAAGTCCCTGGCGTCACAAA